AACGTGTCAAAGCCAAAAGGCAGAAAATCTTAATAGCAATCAGCCTACTTCATTATTTAATACCTCTGCATGCTCATGCAATACTTTTATATAGATTTTGGATTTTTAATCCGCAGCACCGCAGCCCCAACTGTAAATTTTTCATAAAAATACTTGTGGTAAAAAAATCGTGGTGCTTCGAATATATGCAAACATTCATCTCTTCGTGGACTTTCTCATGCACTAGGGACCGGTTGTTCAAAGCTATAGGTTAGCGCTAACCCAGGGTTAAATTATATTCAAGAGTTTTAGTTTATGTGCTTTTGAACCACTGTTCGTTTTAAAACGTTTAGAAAATACGACTTCTATGGGTCCTGAAATTATTTATGAAAAATTATGAACCGTTTGCAAACAACAAGAGGTTAAATAATTAATGAAAAGATTTGCTTTAACCCAGAGTTAAGCTAACTGGCTTTTGAACAACCGGCCTTAGGCCTTAATATTTCTTAGATTTACGGAACGGCTTAGACCTTAGTCAATCAATCCGCCATTTCGTTGTAACAAAAAATATTTGATGTTATTTTCGTTTAATCTGTAATCGCAAGCACGTAGAAAGAATTTATATCCTTCAGATTTGAGATTTAGAGTTTTGAAAAGACCAATTTTGAGTCAACGACTAAATTACATATAGCCATTGGTTCACAAGATAAAGTATGAGATAATATAAAGACACGTTCCAATATAACGATAATTAGACTAATTAAAATAATAACACACGTTCCAATAATTAGACTAACTCTCCTGACAAAGGCCCTCAGGTCGAAACGTCGAGAAGTGTTTTGTCTATTTTAGACAGTTGTTATACCACATTTGATGCTAAGTTAATATAAAGACAGTATTAATATTAATGATATTTACTTGCCACTTGATACGTTAAAGTACAATTTAGCAATAAGTCGGAAGTGTTATCTTAAATGAAATAAAATGTCCATGATTTGGCATGAAAAACGTATTAACACTACGTGGTAATCTTTATAAATATTCTCGTATAATCGTATATACTATGAAGATTTCAACTGTTGTTGTTCCGACTGTTAATAGTTTGGATGAAAATTTTTAATGAAAACCAATCGCGAACATATTTTTTAGCGTTTTACGCAGGTTTACGCTTTTAGAGTTTAGACCCTAAAAAATTTCATTCTGATTTAAATGAAAAAGGCGGGAAAAACTACTCATTCATCTTTACGCGTGTTTAATATGGTTTGGATAACGCTAGTTCCATAATATGATTAAAGCAACACAATCCCAATAATCTATATATATACATAAACAAAACAATAAATTACGTTTAAATTATGATTTAGTAATTTCTACTTCTATGACTATGAATATGTAGCTACTGTAATACACATGCATGGGTGCTGTAATAGTGTGTTCTGAAACTTTAAATTGCAATTATCAGCATTTTAATAACCACGTCAAGACTTAAGTCCTTCTACCAATGCTTAGCTTTGAGATATTTTAAGTGCTTCTTAGCGGGAAATCGCTCGACATCCTGCCACGCTTGGTGTCTTGAGATTGCATGTCACCAAAACGACAAATTTGAAATTGACATTGTTATCAGTGATACTGAAAGCGAGGAAGGGCACTGCCATCAGGAAAGCATGTCGCCAAGCAAGCGCTCCGGCTTTGCCTCACGACGTCAAGAAAAAAGCCGAACATTGTCATTGTCTATGTCTCTATGACTGTATATACATAAAAAACTGATGAACGTAAAAGGTCACAGCAGGTATTTTTAAAAGAAGCTTATTCATCAAAAACTAAGAACGTGTTTTAAAATCGCAGTGGGAATTTTTCCATTAAATTTATAAGGAAGAGATAAAAATCTCACAATACTGATAATGTCTGGTTTTTGTGTTTGTGCAGCTGAGTTATAGTTTGGTATATATTAAATGGCAGATAATTAATGCCTGATACCGCAGACAAATCAAATCCTGATAAATAATGTCAAAAGAGCTATTATATAGCTTCGCAAATATTTAACTTTGGTGTATGCATGGTAAGCTATTTGTAAACAAGGCAATTCATTAATATTTTTGCAGGTCACAATGGCACTACTATTAATATATAGGACTCTAGTCTGATTGCACTATATTTCTTGCTACCGGTACCTTAGGTCCTCACATATTGGTAGGCCTAACCCTCCCCCACCTTTAGCTTCCAAAAATAATTTAATATTTAATTGGGCCAGGACTATAAACCTTCACTAGTTAAGATTCCAGTTTGTAGATTGCAAAAATATTCTTTTTGCTCAATTTTACCTAATTTTCACTTAATTTATCTTTTTTTAATGCACCTTGCATTTTAAAATTTCAATTAGTGGAAATAAGGGTTGATAACATTATTTTCTAGTGTTACTTGTTAACTTTTAGGCTTTGAATGCACCCAGGTACCCTACTATCTAAGCAGTCAGATGGAAGAAAATCTTAAATTACCAAATATTTATTTAACAAACAACATTGAATGTTCTTTGGTGAACTTGAAAGTTCAAGACAGGGAATTACAAAATTGAATGTTCAAGCTTAAACCCACTAATTAGAAATACTACTAGGCAATAAATATTCTAATCTTCTATGATTTAATCTTCTTTTAACAAAGAAATAACCAGTTGAATTATTTCCATTCACCATATTTCACACTATACTTTAACCGCCTTTCTCATTCCCACCTTCGCTAGGCAAGGACACACTTTGTGTAGAAGGAAATGGCATTTTAAGTTTTCATTTTCTTTTAATGCAACATGACGATTGAAAATAGATATGATAGAAAATAGAGGGATGATATTTTTATATATAAGTGTCTTTAAGTTACATATAACTAATTTTCTCTTTGTGCCAAACTACTATTTTGTGTTATGTTTTCTAGCAACACATAATATTCTATATATATAAAAATTAGAAGGAATCCAAAAAAATAATGAAACATTTGCAACATGCTTTACTATTCAAATAAACACCTGCCATTAGTTTCACTATTCTATTCTTCTCCAATATACCAAACAATTTTGCTTTTCCAAAAGTTTATTCCTGGCAACAGTTTTTCCTGCCATTCATGGATTGTTTGTAGCTTAACTTTATTAGCATAAATAGCAGAACAAACTAATGCACTAGGTTGGACCCAATGCACTAATGCACATCGTATTGTATCCAGTAAATAAGTAATCTATAATCATAATCTACAAAAGACTCATACATTTAAGTTTGTTTACTCTACTGATAACTTTGAATGAACTAAAACAACAATATTGCTCATATACAAAAAAGCAGGGCCCTGTAAACTACATGTTTGTATGTGGTATTGCCCAGAAATTGCAGGACAAGTTGATAGTTATGTAACAACTTTTGCACTAAACAAAAAAATAGCACAAGAAAGCACAAATGACCATCAAATAAATGGTTTTATATTATTAAACCAAATTTGGGGCATACTATTTGAAAAACAAGCCTCAACATGACAGTTCCCTTGCCATGACAACACAGTAAGCTTGTACTCCAGAACACAGGAGCTGTCTGTATGCCATGATAAGCATCAATCTCCTATTGTCCCAAGCCTACCATTGCTGCATAGCACCAAGTGATTAACACCAGATAACAAGAGATGGGCCCCTGCTTATCTCAGCAGGATATGCCCCAGAACCAATGCTCATTTAAGCTGCCCAACAATTAATTAAACAAAAAACAGAAAATCCCACAGTTTCTTCAGCATTTTAACAAAATTGGTATCAATTTGAGTTCTAACATAATAGACAGGGAGTTTTGTGTGAAATTGTGCTGTACTTTAGCGTCAATTGCTGCTAAAAGCGTTTCTCTACTGTTCTGTTTACAAGTGAAATTGACATCTAATTGATTGATCCCTTTGACCAGCTTGTTGAGATTCTCTTTGCATGGTTGAGCGCCCGTGCTCTATTAGGGAATCGAACTCTACGCTTTCTGGTACTCCCTCGCTAAATGTGTGTCGAATTGCTTAGCAGAGCTGCGATCCAGGGCTGCGTTCTAGGGAAAAATGTTTTTCGTGCACGCACGCCACTTACAACTTATCGCTATATCAACGGAAATGACAGATGAACATCGACAAGTTATAAATTTCTGGCGGCTACTTGCAAACGTCATATCACAAACACAACACGACGAGAAACTCTCGCTCGGCGCGCCTCGCATTTTTTCCCGTGCGAAAAGTACAAGAAAGTAACAATGTTTAGGCCAAAATACTCAAATTGTGGGCAGGCTTTTGTAGGCGTTGAGTGCACTTCTGTGGCTAGGTCGAGTCACGCTATATTATGAATGGACATAAACCTAAACACTGTCTAAACAGATCATATATGCCGGCCACTTTGACAACATAACCGTTCGAATATAAATACAAAAGAACGCTACGAACCCAAAAACAGACAACACAAAAACATGAATTGTTCGTTTCCGATTTACGTCAAAAGTGAGATTGGCGAACGGCGATTCGTCTACAAAAGCTGGCTGCATTAAATTTTCGATTGACAAGATGTTTTATTACGAATGGCACGACAGACATTATCACATACACACAATAATTCTTTGGTCGGGAGCCCTGACCACACGGCGAAATATTTTGAAACAAATGAACAGAAGCTCAGTCAATTCTATTTCAAGTTATCGTAGCAAATTGAAATGCTACGAGTATATTCTCCGACTCCATTCGGCATATATCGCTTCATTTACACGAATATATGTACAATATAAAAGTTATTTACCGTTGTTCCTGTGTGCAGAGCCCTTGGCGCAACACACTGATAAGAGCGTAAACCTAACCATATTTTGCGATAAAGTTGCCGTAAATTCCGCCAAGTACGTGAAGAAAATTTAGGCAAAGCTGCTTGAATTTTCGATCAGAACACATACGATATTCTTGCACTTTCTGACGAGCAGAACTTGAACAAAACAACTTTAATAGTTCGGTTTAAATGTCTGACGATTAGATTTTGTTCCTACCTGATAAAGCTTGATTATATGAGGATGATCCAGCATTTTCATGACTTGGATTTCCCTATACACTTTCTCCAAGTTCTCGTCATCTAACTTACTCTTGTCGATTATTTTGATAGCGACCTAAAACACGAGAGAATGTGTGTAATTGTAGAGCGATAAAAGTACAGCGACGCGTCTGTTTCCAAACAACAGTCATAATTCAACCCACGGTAGCGTGCTTCACCGAACAGCAATAAGGCAGCAGATTAATCTGTGAACATTGTACGAATTCTGCCCTGCCACACAGAACGCAAACGTCCCACAGGAACGGTCAAATAGTAACAGCTACAAGGAGTACGGCGCTGTCAAATTCAAAACACTGCAGTTTGTGTGCCAGTATACCTAACAAATCGATAGTGACATCGGCAAACGATCGAAAAGGGTGAACCATTACATAAGTTACCTCGCTATTTGTATAAATATTCTTGGCGAGTTTGACGACGGCAAAATTCCCTTTGCCTATCGTCTTCTCGATCTTGTAGTGGCCAACACGTACGCTGTTGGCATTCCCACCACTAGACGACTCCGCCATCTTAATACATGATGCTAGAAATTTATCAATCTCCGTTCTCAGGTGCAAGAGTGCCAACAACTAGGCATGCGCAGTACCACGACACTGCATTCGCATCACGACGGAACACGGAACCCGAAAACATTGATTCTAAAACAGTTTTTAAACCGTTTTTTAAATAGGCAGCCCAATGGCGAATTGTTTTATTTTTATTTGAATTAAAAACGCACACTTTGATGAAATAGACACATTATGTCATTTATTTACATGCTTATGTACTTGTCTATAATTTACATGCTAATATGCGTGTCTGACAATGTTCAGGCAACGTAGGCATTCGCCATTGGGCTGTCTATGCCTAAGTTTTATGTTTTAGGCTTTCAGTTTTTCAACATTTGAAGATAACGAACAGTGGTAGAAAAAGCGTCAGGAGAGCTCGGATGACATTGGAAAAGTACTACACAACCGAATTTACAATGCTGTTACATATGTCCCACCACAACTTTCCGCAACATGACTTATGCACTGTAGTCTGTATACGAATAAGCTTTCTCTGAAGAGCCTCTAGATCTGTATGCGTATCCGTAATTGTACGTATACGTTAAGGCCTATTCAGACTACGCGTTGAGTTATTTGCAATTATCATTCTGACGAATGCAAAAGAGGGCCTTTGCCACAATCTTTATTTATATTGTTCAGGGCGGAATTTGAAATGTCACGTTTGTACGTGTGTTCATACGTTCACATAGGTCAGGGTACGAATCGTATACGACAAATCGAATAGTGTAAATGGGCCTTTAAAGAAAAAGAAGTCGTCCTTCTTCTAGACCCTGATTGGTTGTCTCGACTCCATTCCCCAATGACAATCATTGGTGGGGAGATTATGCTAATTTTATGTCTGTTTGCTATTGATAATCTTGATACTTCACAATGTAGCTTGGTTGGGAACAGTCACTGACAAATCTTTCAGACAATATTTTTTGGCTGAGCAAAAAGAAGCTTAAATATTAGATATTAGCGGACATTTACATTCGAAGTATCTACAGCGACTATTTTAGCCGCCCATGGCGTGACCTAATTTAATTAACCCTTTTCCGCATTCCGACACGAAAATCTCCGCCAGGGGCAACTGCCGAGTTAGCGTGCAGTATTGCACATTTTCCAGAGTTTAGTACCAAAGGTATTGTGTGTGGTATTCTGTGAATACCGAGTTTAATACCAAAGGTATTATCACTATTGTGTGAATTGTAGCGTTCATGCATGTATCCAGGGATGTCGCAAAGGTTTAAACATCAGGGACGGGAAGTGCTGTGATTTGATCAAATACTGGGGGAAGTTTTAATCAAAATTTCAGCATCGTAATTAATAAAGGAAACGAATTAAATTTTGTCAAAATCTCACGTTTGGCCAGCCATGAAAAAGCGTCCCTACTTTGAAACGTTTTGAAGAACTCACACATCTCCGGTAGCGATCGATGCCCCTGCATGCGTCCGGCTTAATTGTGTCCCACATTTGACTCATTTGACACTTGCGCACACGCATCAGGTCTGTCTGTCTGTCTTTTTATAAATAAATAATAAATAAATAAATTTAGGCCTCTACAGATTGTGCCCGGCAACTTTTCAACAGGGACATGTCGCAGTGCTCGGAAGCTTTCGTCCAATTGGATAATGCTTTTCCAAAATTTTGAAACAGAAATGTATTGTAAAGTTCAGCCAATGAAAATCATTCTTGCAAGGAGCTGCGACACTACCCTTTAAACAACTTTTTTAAAATTTGAATAGCTGTTCTGGTTTCCAGATACCTGAAGCGACTTTTGCTTTTTTGAGTAACATGAAGCAACTTTTAGGCCTATGCATAATCCATATGCATACTGCTAATTGCGCACTAATTATTAAATAAAATCTCGACTGTTAAACTAATTATTTATTCACCAGCACAATATTATGTAATTATGTGTTTTAATTTTAGTTTATCGTCATGCACTTTCCATTCAGTATTGATTATTAATGCTCGCAATGCTTTGTGGTAAGACGTTTATGCCAGGATTTTTTTTGGTAATGGTCAATTTTAACCGACTAAGATCAACCCCCAAATTAATTTATAATAGGTTGTAATTAATTACTCACCAAAAAGGGCAGATTATGTTGTGGCTTGAGCCAGGTTTCCATATGTCGTAATTCATCGGCGACGTTCTACCAGTAATTGTCGTTCGTCAATGAAGTATGTATTTTTATTTTGGATAGACAAAGCATTTTATGTATCAGTGATCATGCACTGACCGAGTAGATATCACCGATGAATTACGACATATGAAAACCAGACTTCATGTAACTTTACGGATATGGCGTGTAATTCTGTATATGCATTTTAGCACTAAAGAGTGCATCGAATTAATGATCGCTTCGATCATCGTCACTAGTTGGATAGCCTAATGTGACGTGCCATATAGCGGATGTCATTGTCTGATTGACATAAACTTAGCTCAGGGAAAAACAGAGCGTGTACTGAATAAAGAAAAAAAAACTGAAAATAGGATTTTTTTCCACTTTGTCTCTTCGACCATTCTGAATTTCAGCTTGTGCTTAACTCGCTCGTGTTAACTAAGCGGGAATCATGCAATTTACAAACAATATTCAGTAGATGGTTGTCAAGCATATAGGCTCATGAACCGGCCTGTTTTTAACGTCATGCGGTGAGGTAAAAGCGATCGATAATCAGTCGCGATGCTTCGCCTTCTGTTGTTGTTAATATTTCCTCATACCTGTATGTGGTAGCTAGCCTACCCGAATATTTGGTCAAACGTTGCTGATTTGTATTGCCAAAAGTGGAAAACAACGCGTAAAAACAATCGAAATGATGACCAACACGGTACAAATTAACCGTTGAGGAGGTCAAGTTGGTCAACCTGTTTTGCCTTGGCTTTTTGCATGAAAATGCCATTCAGTGATAGCGTGCCTTTCGCCGGTCGATTCAAAGTTCACGCAAAAAACGGAATTTCAAAGGATCGATGAATACGAGTCGATTAATATGACCTGATGAAAATCCAAGTCAAAAACCAGTTAGACTTCCTCATGCTCGACACAAGAGGGCAAGTGTTGTGTTCAAAGGCAGTTTGCTTGAAGGATACCGATCTATCATACATGCGGAGCAGCCATATTTATGGATGTATTTTACGAAATTGGTTTCATAGATTATCAAGGAAAGTTGAACAACTAGCAAATTTCAAATTGTTGTCCAGATGCTTTTGTCATTCAACTGAAAAATGAAGGAAGGACAGAAGAAAGAGGAAGCAGGAAACTGACACCTGCATGGAAACATCAGAAAAAGGACGAGGGGACAAGTAGCTACTTAAACCTATGTGGAAAAAAATCATGAAACAAGAAAGATTGGATTACCCAAGTGCAATAAGATAATGCAGATTTTCTGTCTGCTTTCTGCTCAATTTTGATACATGAACAACCACGTTAACAAAATGTCGCATTTTCGGTGCTGACGATGAAGAAGGAAGTACTCAGTGATAGGGGTGATATATTCCAGCACTTTATGAACAAAGAAGCAGAGAAACTAAAAAAAGAGACAAACAAGCATGACTGTAGCCAGGCCGCTGAGGGAGGTAAACGTTTGGTTTAGGAGGGGTATGCATATTCATATATTCGTGCTTACATAACCGTTAGGAACAATACCTTACAGAAGAAATCAGTCAGGCGAGTAGATGAATATGCGACCCTTCAGCAAACAATTAAAGCTTCTAGCTACGGCCCTGCAAGCAAGCTAATAGAAAAACCAAAGAACAAGCAAAATCGAAGATAAAATGTCGTCTAGCTCCTTTCACGCATGCATGCATGCAGCGCAAATTATAGAACGTCCGGTTTAATCTTCCTACGTATAAGGATCCTTGGCAGAATCTACGATAAGGAATCGACGAGACTAATTTATCCTACATTGATCATTGCAACTTTGTTTAATAACGTCTCTTCAAAGTACCGCCGCTGAAGTGACTCTTAACATGACCACGAGCACTTCGGATAATTAATGCATCGTGTAGGCGCCCATTTGTACGAAAGGCTGACAAGCGCGCAACATGCGTTCGACATTGAAGAAACTCCTTAGGAGATATACAGCGCGCACGATTAGCCAGCAATCTGATCGTAGTTCAAACTTGAAGCGGTTTTTGTTTAGGTGAAATTTCGTAAATCGAAACCCATTTCTCAAAACAGGTGGCCATATGTCCATGAGTAGAGGGCTCCTTTAGGTTAAACGCACAAAAGGGCTTAGCAACGAAGTATTGACGTCACGTAAACAGCTGTAAAATATCAATCAAATAATCAAGAGAAATTTTATCCTTGCCTTAGAGAGCATATATGACTTTGCATAAAGCAAGTATTACTCCTTCATGAGTTCGTTTATTACTCCTTCATGGCATCTTAGAATTTTTAAATCAAACTGGGCGTGTCTCCGGGTCAACGATTGGAAGGGATATATGAGAGATTTATACGACCGCCTCGCTGAGGATGAAATATACGTTAGACGTTTTTCTCTTTCGACCTGTCGCCATGCAGGTGGAATTTAATCGCAAACATCAGAAGACCTGTGTTTTTTTACCGTCGGCGCAGAGGATTGCACGGAAAAAAAATCGTTTGTTTTGCATAGCTATATTGTATACCTCTAGTTCATGTAATTTAAGAGGGTCTGTATGTGAACATAATATTGTCTATATAATATTTACAATGTTCCAAAGCTGAATATCTCAAAAACGTCTCAGCTATAGATCAGGGAGTTAAAATTAATGAAAAACCTGCCAAGAGTTAGAATATAACACTTCTATCTCGAAAGTTTCGCCTCATTTGACAAGCGGTCGGGTCATTTATTTAATTAATATTTAAAGCGCTTGCCTTCCACGTCTGTAAGTGTCTCTTCGTCGAATATCTTAATCGTACTAATGGCAATGTTAGCTAAATTTCTTCACGCCTCTTTTGCATATAGGACCGACCAGCTCTTCTTGTTTTGTGTTAGCGTGGTCG